CCCCCAGGGCCATGTCCCCTCCCAGGCAGCTCCTTCACCCAGGATAACCCAACCCTGGAGCGCACAATCCCCCAAAACCCCGGGATTTCTGCCCTCTGAGCTAAATCTGCTTTGTTTTTAACAGAACCCAGGCTCTTTGGGGACAGCCTCAAAACACGTCCTCGTGCCAAAGCACGCCATGGGAGACCTGAGCTTCCCAAAGCTCCTGTCCCCAAGGCCAACCCCCAGCTCACAGTGGGATTGGGAGCACCCAAGGGTGAAGGTTTTCATCCTGCCAACACTTTGTGCTGATCAGCTCAAGTGCAAGAGCTCAGGAGAAAGAAGAAGGGTTTGTTGTTTGTTTGTTTTTTTTTTTTCTTGCTGCTGCCCCAAAACCTCCCAGTTTGTTTGGTACAACCACTTCCCTCGGAGTGCCAGAGGAAGGAGGAGCTGCAGGACAGGTTTGAGAGGCAAAGACCTGGAAGAGCAGCTGAGGTGACTCCTGGGTTTTTCTTTCCACCCTGAAAGGCAGGAGAGAGGGGCAGCAGCTGGGGAATCACTTCCCCCCTGATTCTGGCTCCTGTTACAGCCCGTTCCTCACTGGCAGCACGTGCCCTTCAGCAGAGCTCTGCAGGACCCCCCTGTCCCTTCTCCAGGCCCAAATCAGGCAGGAATTCCGTGTGCTGCGGATGTTTGGCAATCCCTGTGCCCACACCGATCCGGAGCAGTGGGTGTGACAGGGAAAGGAGAGGAATTCCTGGCAGCAGGGCCACTCCTGCTGGCACAGCCCCACAGCCAGAGCAGCGCTTTATAAGGAAATTCCTGGGATGAAACTGCCTGTCCTCATCTCCCTGAGGGTTTGGGGGTTGTAATTCCACTGCAGGTGCTCCACAAAGCAGCTCCCAGCAGGTATTTTGGACGGAACCAAAGCCACCCCTGGATGGGGGAATATCTGCAGGAACACCAAACCAGGCTGGAGATCTGCCCTGGGAATAAAATCCCAGAATGGTTTGGGCTGGGAGGGACTTTAGTCCCATCCAGTGCCACCCCCTGCCATGGGCAGGGACACCCTCCATTAGTCCAGGGTGCTCCAAGCTCCATCCACAAACCAAGCACCCCTTCAGCTCCGAGCTGGAGCTGCTGAAGCCAAGGCCAGAAGCAGCAAAGAATTCCCAGGGGATTCAGGTTTGAGAGGCTCCTGGTAGAGATGATGTAACGTGGTTAAATCAGGCTTTGTCCAACAGAATTGGCTATTAAGGGTCAGGGACCTGCTGGGACTGCCTGGAATGGATCCCATTCCGTCAGCAGGTGATGGGAACACCCGAACAGGAGCTTCCCAGGAAAGTTCAAGTCCTTCATTTGTTTGTCCTGGGAGTGCCTGTTCCTTCCCACCAATGATTTACTGCTCCTGGCCACGCAGAAAACCCACATTTATCAAAACCTCCCTAGATAAATAATTCCAGCAGTGGTGTCTCAGTCCAGCTCCAGCTCGGGCTGGGGGCACCAGGCTCAGAATGACACCACAGACACTGAGGGACGGGATGGACTGTCCCATTTTTGGAGCTGGATTGGGGTTTTTTTTCCCCCCCAAAGGTTGCTCTGACCTGGGGGATGTGGGTTTTGTTTCTATCAAACAATTACCAACAATAAATCCAGCTGAGGAAAGCTGGTATGGAAGCACAACACCCAAACCAATCCCTGACTGATTTCTCTCTCCCTGGACACTTTTGCACACACACATTTTCCTCGTGGGCTGGGGCTGGACTGGCAGAAAAGCTGAACTCTATGGAAAGGACAGCTCAGGGCTGAGCTCCTGTGCACCCAGAGCAAAGGAGAATCCCAAACCAGGGATTCCTCCACTCCAGCTGCCATCAAGACTTAAAAAAAGCAACTTTCCTTTCAGGTTTCTAACAGAAATAGCTGAGTGTTTAATCAGCAAACTGCAGTGCCTTTCCTGAATCCACTGGCATTTGGGGATTCCAGATGAGTTCCACTGAACTGCAGCAACAACCAGCCAATATCCATTTTATTTTAGTGACCAAGACTCAACTCTGCAGAGGGCGGGGGCTGGAGGTGCAGCTCATAAAGGTGTCTGGGAGCCCGAGACAGGGCTGGGAGTCAAATCTGAAACAAATCCCAAGCAAAGGGGTGCAGAGGAGCAGAGGAATGTTGGCCTCAGGACCGAGGAATGTGAGCCTGTCCAGACTGCAGCTGGATGGGATGGGAAACCAGCTGGGAAAGATGGGAATTCAGTGCTGCTCTCCCCAGAAACTCCCAGAATTCTATATATTTTACACACTTAGACAAACCAGCTAAAGGACAAGCAGAGCTGTTTGATGACAACTTGTCTCTGCAGCGTGACAGCACAAATTCACCGAGGTCCAGGTGAGAGTGAGGGTTCCACACCAGGCAGCTGAAGAAATGAGCTGCAGAAACAACTGAAAGTTGGCTTATTCACCTAAATCATTGACCCAAACGCCCTGAGCCCTTCCAGCAATCTGCACTTCCAACAGGCCGAGTTTCCCAGCAGGACAGAGCCCTTCCCAGCAGGACAGAGCCCTTCCCAGCAGGACAGAGCCTTCCCCAGTTTGTCTGCAAGTTCACACACTGCTCTTCCAGGCAGCCCCAGCCAGGGTTTCCTATCTGACTAGAAAAGGCTCAGGTTAACAATCCCACTAAGCATTTTTTTTCCCCACAGCGACAGAAAAGTGCTTTGACAGCTCTGAACTTCAGAGAATTCACAACCAGCCCCAGAGCTGGGGAGCTCAGGGCAGCTCGGGGGCTCCTGGGGAGCACACGGCACCTCCAGCTCTGCTGCCTTCCTGGAAAACAGCCCCAGCCCGGGGTTTTTATGGCCTGCACTGTGGATGTCAGCACAGCCCCTCAGCAAACAGCACAGGGCAGTGTCCTGGCTGCCCAGGAGCGTCACAAACAGGAGCTGGGTTTGCTCAGCCCTGAGTAACTCGGGCAGCTCCGGGTTGGAGCCGACGCAGGCGAACCCTGGCAGTGCAGCTCTGCAGCTGGAACGAGGAGATACCGGTGTTTGCAGGGATAGATTGGTGTTTACCCAGCACTCAGGTGTTCCCGAGGAAAGGCTGGGCTGACTCAGCCTGGCTCTTTGCCAGAGCAAACCTCAGGGACCCCTTTTTCCCCTTCCCAGATCTCCAGCGCTCCTCAACCACGGCTCTCCCCTAAAACACTCCAGGTTGTTCCCTGCGGTCCCGGAGCAGCAGGATGGGAAGGCAGGCTGAGTTTCTGGGGACAGGAAAGCCCCAGGGGCCGTGGGGGGGGGGAAGGTTTGCTGGGTGTGCAGGTGGAGTGTGGGAGGGCAGGAAGGACAAACCCCAGAGCCAGTAAGATCTGAGTCAGCAGCGCTCGCCCGCCTCATTATCTGCCATCTCTGAGCAGAACTGGTGAGACACCCGAGCAGCTGAGCTGGAGAGGGTTCACAGCCCTGCAAGGGGCTGGACTGAGCTCCTGCAGGAGCACAGACGAGGGGGAGGCTGCAGGGAAAGGTCATGGCTGCCATCACCGGCGTGCCCGGGGGCTGCTGCTCAGCCAGGAGCTGCAGGGGCCAAGGACACAATTCCCACGCAGGAAGGGACGGGATCACAGCCCACACAACGGCAAGGGAGAGTCCCAGCCAGCACAGGGCCAAGTCTCACTGCTGGCTGGGGATGCCAGGGAGAGCAGGCAGAGCCCAGAGCTCTGCAGCAGCACAGGGTGCAGCCACCCACTCCCCTGAGAGCTGCCCTCGGAGGATTAACTGTGCCCCAAAACAAACAATGCAGGGGAAAACAGGAGCAGTGCTGCAATTTAAAACAAACAAACAAACAAAACACAGACTTCTTCCCTTTCTTAGGCAAGGAGCAGAAGCAGCAAGGCTGGTTGGTATCAACAGGCTGAAGGGCCACCATGAAGGAACCCGACCAACCGCCTCGGCCCTGCTTTTCCATGATCCAACATCACCCCATGTAGGGATTTCTGAGCCATTCTGCAGCACATTCAAGCTGATTCCCAGAAAATCACGTGCCTGCACAGTGAATTCAGGACTAGGAAGCCTTCCAATGTTTTCCTGAGAAGGGCTGTGCTCACCACGCAGCACTCACAGCCATTCCAAAGCCCCGCTGGGCGCCCGCCAAATCCTGACCTAAGGAGCAGCTCAGGAAGCTGCCAGTCATCCCTTCCCAGCTCTTTGTGTGCTCTGAGGCTTGAGGAGTCTAAAGTAGCTTCAGGCCGGGGGCAGGAGGACAGATTTTAGTGACAGAACCACAGCATAAAACACTGGGAGAGTATTTGTGGTCAGAAATTCGGGCTCATGGGACAAGAGCACGACAAGGGCCTCTCTGGGGATTGCTGCACGAATAACTCCACAGTCATCGGGGCTGAAAGGCTCTTTGAACTCCTCTGTGAAAAAAAGAAAGAGTGCAAATGCCACAGCCACTTCCAACCCCTCTGGACAGTCAGTGATGATCCATTCCCACCTCCTCCAGCCCAGGGGGTGAGTCACACTGAGCGGGGCAACACCTCCGTGCAGGGCTGACAGCACCAGGTCACTGCACCCTCCAACCCTCCCCTGCCCCGGGGGGGACACTTCAAACTCACTTCTGGTGCTCAGAGACCACAAAACGCCTGCTGAGTCTGTGCAATCACGTTATAAAATATATACAACACCTATTTATCAGCCCCCACGTCGCTGCCTCCACGGGCAGCAGGGACAGGCACAAGAGCTACTGGTTCTAAAGCCTTTTAATTGCACAATTCCAGCTCTTTACCCAGCCTGTCTCCTCCTCCTGCTGCACATCTGGGCAGCTGGAAGGCCAAAAGCACTCTGGTCTGTGCTGATCAGCACCTCCAAGGGGGAAAAAGAAAAAAAATCCCACCTCCAGGGCAAGGCAGCTGGAAGGCACCCAAAAGGCTGGTTTAGCATGAAACAGCACCTTATTTAGACAATCTGAAGAATGTTTCAGAGGGGCACCACGGCTGGGAATTTGCATAATGGGTGTCTGTATCTTGCTTACCTAACAGGAGAAGAATCCTGTCTGTCAGTAAGTCTAGACTGTGGTGTTGAATCCAGGGAATCTCCCGGCCAGGAATAACACGGGGTGCAGGGCAGGGGTGCTGCCATCTGCTGACACCCACGCTGGTGGCTGCAACTGGCATTTTTGGGGAGTCTCTGGGCCGGGATCGGCCTGCAGAGCTCGGCTCAGCGCTGGGAGCGATGAGGAACATCCCTCCTCATCCCGAACATCCCTCCTCATCCCGAACATCCCTCCTCATCCTCCCGGCCAAGCCCCGCTGCCTCTCCCCAGAGCTCCGGGGAGCCCCGGTGTCCCCGCAGAGCCTCACCCCGCCGGGCTGGCACGGCCACACTGGGCTGCGGCTGCAGTCGAAGCCCCGGGAGCCCGGCAGGCTCTTTTATTAACGGAATATCCATTAATTAATATTAAAATCAAGGCACCCGCACGGAGCCCCTCGGGCGGCCCAACATCGCCCTCTGCCGCCCGCGCCGGGAACTGCAGGCGCTCGCTCGGGGGCAGTTCAACCCCCCCCAAAAAAATGGGTTTTGGAGGATCTGACACCCAAAATGCACAACTGCGTATTTAACCGTCATTCCCACCCCCGAAAGCCCCGCTGGGACACACGCGGAGACACAGAACTACCGGCTTCGGAGTCACACGGATCTCAGCTCCTCGGAGTGACTCAAGAACAGCAACTGCTCACCACCATCATCATCGTCGTCATCATCACCCAAACTTCCTCCCGCCCCAAAGCAGCACCAGCCCGACCTGCTGCTTCCCAAAGCTCCCGTGGGGAGGTCACAAGCCTCCCAAAAACAGGGTGGGCTGAAACACGGGCTCAGCCTCCTGCCCCTTCGTTCCCGTGGGGGCATGAACAGGACCCAGGGACACTCCTGCTCCTCGGGGCATGAACAGGACCCAGGGACACTCCTGCTCCTCGGGGCACCCCAGTGCTCTGAGGCTCTGGAACGACCAACCACGTCAGCAAGACACAGTTCCCAGCTCTGGGTCTGTCACCTCACCAAGGCTGAGCTGCTTCACCTTCCTGGTACCTCACACAGGGTGGGGAATACGGGATTTCACAACAGTTTTGACAGAAAACACAAAGCACTTTCTCCAGGATGAAAAGCCATCCCCGGCAGCCTCTGCTGCCCCACACCCCCCAGTGCTCCAGCAAACCTCCAGGAGAAAGGAAACAACCTCCTTCTCCAGCTCCAGCAGCCAGAGCTCCCCTGGTCCCACACCTCCCACTGCTGCTGACTAAGGGCCACGCTCTCCTCTGGAATCCAGGGGTGTCCCTCCCTAATTAAGGAGGTGATCAGCGTTACATAACGAGGCTCCACGTGGGCAGTGGATCACCAGCCTGGCTCGGAGCAGCACCCGGAGCCAGCACCTCCAAATCCCACCTGTGGCTGGGCAAACACCTCAGCCAGCCCTGCTGGGGCACTTCCCCCCCCGTGGCAGGTAAAAACCAAACCACCAGTGAAGGCAAACGAACAGTGAAATGGCACTTTTGAGTTCCACGAGGGCAGAGTCGTCCTTGCTCACCTTCCTACTGCCACACAGCAGACTCGGCCACCGTCCCGTCGGGCACTGCCAGGGATCCTGGTTGGCTCCTCCTGCCAAGGAAACGGGAATTCAGGAGTTCCATCACGGGCACAGATGGTGCATTATCAGTGGAGTCATAATTTGGAATATTTACTCCACTGACTGCAGCTCCATCCCAGCAACACTGAGCAATAACCGCTGCACGACCCTGCTCTGACTGACATCCAGGGGATTCACTGGAAAATCAGGGATGATATCAACTATCAGTAATAACAGGGAACCCATTTTCCTCTGGTTTGATAAGTAACACCCACGACCTGGAGGTCAGGCTCTGGATTCCAGACACCGAACCTGAACATGGCACCTGAGACCAGAGTGAAGTGAAGCTGGATGAGAGGGCACTGAAATATTTGGCTCTAGATTTCACCTGGGGGGGAAAATGAGGAGAGGGGGAGAGGTGTTTGCATCATTTTGTAGGGAAATGAGGAGAGGGAGAGGTGTTTGCATCATTTTGTAGGGAAATGAGGAGAGGGAGAGGCGTTTGCATCATTTTTGGGGGGAATGCAGACAGGGAGAGGCGTTTGCCCCGTTTTTGGGGGCAATGCAGAGTGTTTTAGCCCAGAAGCCACCAGAGCCCTCTGCCTAAACACACACTGGCAAGTTCAGTTTCCCAGAAAACACAAAAGCAGGGAGCAGGAACGAGCTGGCCCAGGGAAAGCTTCGGCAGCACCCTGAGAGCCCCACGTGCTGCCCCCCCTGCTCCCAGCACGGCCCCTTCCTGCTTACCAGTAAAGCCATTGCTCAACCCTGCTGGCCAGCCCAGCTCACCACGCTGAAGTCAGAGCTGGGAGCCAGAGAGGGACCAATTCCAAGAACCCATCGGAGCTGAAATCCAACCCTGCTTGTTTTCTCCACTCACTGTCTGAACACACAAACAATTTTTTTTTTTTTTTTTAGGAAGGAGTAAAACCCACGTCACTGACTCTGTGCTGGGGTTCAGGCCAGGCCTCGCTGGCCCCTTTCACCTCCTTCTGCTCCAGACTGCAGCAAAGCAAGGGGGGAGGAACAGCCCTCGTGCCAAAACAAGCATTTTAAAGTTTTTTTTGTTGTTTTTTTTTTCTTTTTTAAATGGGAATTTTCACAAATGCCACATTCCAAACAAGAGAGTCAGTGCCAGCTACGCACGGAAATATGAAGGTGAGAGCAAGAAAAAAGCTTTACTATCAAACACAGGAACTTGGGTCAGGTCAGGAGACCAAAAAGCAGGTTTGGAATCGGGCTCAGAGTGGCTCCCAGTCCACCACTGAGCCATTCCTCAGGATCACAGAATCCGGGGATGGTTTGGGCAGGAAGGACCTTAAAGCCCATCCCACCCCTGCCCTGGGCAGGGACACCTTCCACCAACCTGGCCTTGGACACTTCCAGCCATCCCCTCTGCTCCAGGGGAGTTTTCCACAGCACCATCTGATCCAGGCTGATCCAAGGAGCCCCTGGAGCTGGGGAGGCTTGAGCTGGATTTGGGGAGGGCAGGTGGAGAGGAGCCCGAAACAGCAGCTGGGGCCTCGCTCGTGGTGATCATTCCTGCTGGAGCAGCACAGCCCTGCCTGATCCCCCTGGGAATGCTGCCATAAACCCAAAGGGACCGAAATTCGGGGGAATTTATCAACAGAATCCGCTATGGAGACAGGGAGGGGGCACGGACAGGAGTGTGGGGCTGGAAAACAAGGGCAGCAGCACCTGGAGGGTCCCACAGGCCACCAGGAACACAGGAAAAGAGCCAGCCATGAGCTGCAATCCCACCCCACTGCCTCCCAGCTCTCCCAGGCCTTAGAGGGCTTTTCCAACTCAAATTATTCCACAAATGCCAGGCTGCTGCAGGAATCAGCCACCACCTCCACACTGCAGGAGAGCTCAACACCTCAGCCAGACACAAACCACCCAAAATCCAATCTACCTGCTGACTAAACAAAGCCTTGAAGCTGCAGCTGAACTGAAACTCTGCAGTGACAACACACATTCCTTATTTGGATTGGTTTTCCTTGAAATCTGTCACTTTTGGAGCTCTGTTTCTTTCCTTCCTCTTTAAAAGCGACCCAGGCACTCCTGCACTGCCAGTGCTTAGATTTTACATCAGTCCCATGGCAGAGCCCCCTCCTCTCTGCAGAGCCCCCAGACCCTGCCCCATTCCCAGCAGCATTCCCTGGGAACAGGCAGTGTCCACAGGAAGGGGGGAATAAACAACCCAACAGCTTCCCAGAGGAACACGATCCCATCCTCGGCTTCCCGCAGGAGCCAGCCCGTTGTTTACAGCCCTGCAGGATCCCACTCCAGGGGCTGAGCTGTTCCTGCTCCAAGAGGGAAAACAAGCCTGACCTCAGCGTGCTGGAATAAACTCTGCCCCCTCCTTCCTTCCAGGCTTCTCCCAGTGCAAAGGTAAGGAACACGATATCCCACAGCGTGACCCCACCAGTGTTTACTGACACCGCAGCCACGCCAAGGAGGGGAACTGCCTGGACGCGCTCCCGCTGCCATCCACCCGGACTGCCCGGCTGGAGAAGGGCCCTCAGCGAGGCAGCTGGCCCTGGGCACCCTGAGCTGGCAGCTGAGCTCATCCCTGGCCGGGCAGGGACACTCCCCGGGCTCCCGGAGATCAGTGGCCGCAGTTTCCTCCGGGGGGATGTTGCCCAGCAGCAGCTCAGAGTGTGAGGGTCCTGCACAGCTCAGGGAGGCCCAGCATGAGGGTCCTGCACACCTCAGGGAGGCCCAGCATGAGGGTCCTGCACAGCTCAGGGAGGCTCAGCATGAGGGTCCTGCACAGCTCAGGGAGGCTCATCCCGGGAATGTGTCACTCCAACAGGTTTGGGAAGAGCCTTGCTGTGCCCAGGCCTTCCTTGTGCCCAGGCCTTCCTTGTGCCCAGGCCTTCCTGGCGCTGCCCAGGCAGAGCCGTGGCTTCCAGGGATACCTTGGAGCGGGTGTGGGCAGCACGGAGGGGAATTCCTTCCCCAGCTGACTGGAAGCAGCAACAGTTGGTCATGCAAAGCATCCCTGCAGCTGCCAATGCTCCCCTGCAGTCTGGGCAAGGCTGGAAGGAAACAGGATCCTCCATCCCGGCCCACTGGAACCCCCTCGGTGCCAGCAACCCCAGGGGGGCACCAGGGCCCTTCCAGGAGGGACTTCCAGCTCCCTGGCAGCAGGAATTCCGTGCTGCTGGGGCTGCTGTGCCCCCCTCGGACACGGCAGGTCGTGGAGCGGGCGGGGGGCCAATGCCATCAACTGTTCCGGCTGGGATCGATCAAAAGCTCCATGGAAGGATCAGGGAGCGCCCAGGAACGCCAGATCCAGGCCCAGGCTGGAGCAGGTGGCTGCTGCTCCTGCTGCTGGGCCCTCACATTGCCAAAGGCTGGTTCAATACGTGCAAAACCCACAAAAACTCAAGGCCCTGCGTTCTGATGGGGAACAGAACTCCAGCACTCCCACCACGCCCCAGCAAGGCCCGTGTGCCAGGCGGGAATGATGGCTCATGTTCCTGACAAACTCAAGGCTCGTGGCACCTGGAGGTGTCACAGAGCCAGAGGCTCCTTTCAGGTGCCCCCTGAGCCTCCTTTTCTCCAGGCTGAGCCCCCCCAGCTCCCTCAGCC